AAGGAGACAAAGCTGGGCCAGAGCAGCTGGGGCTTTTTTTCTGGACCTCACAGTCCTCTAAGGTTGAGCCAACTTTCTCAGGAAGAGAAGAGCAGGTAAGTGACCCATGGTAGCCATATGAGAGATGTGTGTTCTCTCTAGGGGTGTGTGTATGTGTGTGTGTGTGTGTGTGTGTGTACAGGGTCATGAGAGGAAGAGGGGGTACCCACTCAGCCCTAGCAGTTCCTGAGAATTCCCATGTCGGGTTTTGAGGAGCAGAAAGTTTCCAAAGAAAAACCTAAACTCGGGGCGCCTGGGTGGCTCAGTCATTTAAACATCTGCCTTCGGCTCAGGTCATGATCTCAGGGTCCTGGGATCGAGCCCCGCATTGGGCTGCTTGCTCATGGGGGAAACTGCTTCTCCTTCTACCCCTCCCCGCTTGTGTTCTCTCACTCTCTCTCTCAAATAAACAAAATCTTAAAAAAAAAGAAAAAGAAAGAAAGAGAAAGAGAGAAAGAAAGAAAAGAAAAGAAAAGAAAAAAGAAAAGAAAAGAAAAGAAAAGAAAAACCTAAACTCCATTGTTAGGAAATACATTTTCCCCAACAACCATTAGGATAACTGGATTCAAAAAACAGCTATCACAATAAGTATACGTCTTTGAAGACCTTCAATCTTGGCCCAATGCCTGGGTCCAGGTTCAAGGCTCCCACCTAACAGGCCCCATGACCCACCCCTGATTTTCAACAGCCCCCGTGTACCCCAGTCCCCCATCACCTCCGGGGCTCCCCTCCCTGGACCTGAGGAAAGATCTCTTCTTTCTCTCCCTCTAGTCAGACCACTAGAGTCTCATTGGCAGCTCAAGGGCATTCCTAGGACGCAAGTCCAGCAGCTGCAGAGGCCTGTGGAACGTCCACTCCCAACAGTCCTGTTGTTACCTGGCCAGCCTGGTACTTTCGCACACTTTCCTGGGAGCACACGGAAGTCGTGCTGTGCTCCACGGAACAGCTGGTGCTGGTCTAACATATCCAGTTAACCAAGGGCTTCCCAACAGTGCTCAGAGACATGAGCTGGCTTGGCGGTCCCCACTTTATAAGGCTCTGGGGAACAATGTCACCTGCCCAAAGTCTCCCAGGGGATGAATGGTGGGGTCGGTCCTCAAATCCAGGAGGGCAGGTGTGTCTAAGCTGATGGGCAGGTGGCTCACTCTGCTCCCCACAGTTGGCAGGGCTGTGTAAGGCCAGACAGACCCCAGCTGTCTGGAACATGGCATCCAGCTGGCACTGGGGTCCAAGGAGCACAGTGGAGGAATCAGTGAAGCCCCACACAGCACCCTCACAGGGGTAAGGAGGGGTTCTCCTACACAAAAAAGGGCCAGGGCAAGGGGGTGTACTCTCTGGCCCAGGACCTCAAGGCCACCAGGCTCTGTGATCACAGAGCAAGAAAGTCTGGCCTTAACTCTCAGGAAGATCAAGTTTGGCTTGCAGATGGACTCCTCGATGAAGCCATCCCCGACTACCCCAAAACTCTCTAGCAGGGGAAGCTGGGGAGCCCTGGCCTAGTGTGGGCTGAGCTCAGGATCACCCGGCATCCTGGAGAAGTCCCAGGCTGAGTGGCCCCTGGGGCCGGTTACTCACACCCTACCCATGCCTGGCATGATGCTAGCTGCTGGGCACTAGGTGGGAAGATGACATGAGGGCCGTGAAGGAGAGCCCTTGGAAAGTTGCAGGGCTCAGGTAAACAGAGGGAGGAGGAAGATGACGAGGAGAACATGATCCCCACCCTCTGTGGACTTCCCATCGAAAACCACACTGTAGGGAGACCTGCCAGGCCAGGCCAGGCCAAAGAACACACCCACTTGGGAGATGGACAAAGGCCTATGAACCTCGCAACGCATTCCAAAGTTATCGCCCCAAACGGGTACACTTTTGAAGAACAACGTATGCATTTTATGGAAAAGGCATTCCTAAAAAAACAAAATGGTACAACCCCAACTGGGGAGTCAAAGGGCTGGATTTCGGAAGCTGCACATGGCCCGAGGAGAGTTTACTTCCCGGGGGGACGACGACGAGCCTTTTACCCGCTCGCTGGCCCCAGACGCAGAGAGGGCTCAGGCAAGGAAGGGAACCTGCCACCTCCGCTGCGAGGGCTGAGGCATGGCTCTTCTGGGCAAGGAGATAGTGGGGACCAGGGGAGGGGGTGCTGCTGTGATCCCCCCGCCACCCCTGCCATGCCCTGACTAATGACAACGGCAGCACATGGTGCTGCTGAGCACTGCTCAGAGAGCCTCACAGGAGCTAACACATTCAATCCTCACAGCAGGCCTGTGAAGTGGCTATTCTTATCAGCTCTGTGTTCCACATTTGGAAACTGAGGCACAGAGGTTAGGCACCTTGCCCGAGGTCACTGGGATGGACACCCAAGCAAGCTGAGTCACCACTCTCCATGGGCGCACTCAGCCGCCTGACCTCCGGGTCACTGAAGAGGACGGAGACTGGTCCCGGGCCTTCAGACTGGCGCAAACGGGCCATGAACATCCAGAGAGGAGGACGCAGTCACTGGGCCACACCAGCCTGCTGAGCGGGAAGGCAGGCTCCGAGGACTGTGAGCTTCCACAACAGGGTGTCCTGCGCGTGTCGCCCAGGGGCTGAAGGCGCTGTGACTCACTCAGTAAACATCCCCAGCCACAGCAGCCCCCAGAGTTCTTCCTTGGAGGATGTTCTGCGGGATGGAGGACCGAAGGACCCGGAAGGCAACTTCCCTCTCAGAAGCCTCTTTGAAGTAGACTTCCTTGCGGGGGAGGGAAGGGGTGGTGAGGGGGTGAGACAGAGAACAACATGATTCAGACAACTCTGAAGTAGGAGTCCATGTTGGGGCAGCTGAGACAGCCCTGCCCCTCCAGAGCACAGAGGTATACCAAGATGGTGAGGAGTGCTCGCTGAGGGGGTAGCATGTGAGGCCAATACCCACAGACCAAGGAGGCTCAGAGCCCAGCTGCGACCCACATGGGGAGCTATGCACAGCAGGGTCACCTGGCTCTAGGCCTCAGGGGAGCCTCTAGAGACGGGAAGCTGGTCCCAAGAGAAAGGAATGCCCAATCCCATAGGAGACAGCTGTGGCTGTCGCTCGGACACCTCAGCTAGAGCCCCAAATCCAAGAGACGAGGTACGTCTGGAAAACAACCAGCAACCAAGCTCAAGGACAGCATGCCAGTTAGCACAAATGCACCTCCTACCGATTTGAAACTAGGCTGAGGCCTCGAGTGGGGGCTTCATCTGTGGAAACCAAGATTCCTCCTCAGGATGTGTCAAGTCCGTCAGGAACATTGTTTGGCAGAGCAGGTGACTGGCTGACGGGCCTGGCATCTGGTCGGGGGTGGAGTGCTGTTTGGATCTGCAAAGGGGCTGGACGGTGTGAGGTAGGACAAGGGTGCCACGCAGCCATCCAGACCCAGGGCCAGAGGCCCAGGCCACAAGAGAGCGTTCATTATTCTCGGTGATGCCACTTTCTTACAAAATTACTATCACCCTCTGAACTGCTAACACATAACAAAACCCTGAAACACAGTGACGGGAAATGCTTCTAGTGCTATACTCCAATGAAGTGATCCAATGAAGCTATTTTTAACCATCTTCTCAGACTTAATTTCCAATTTTATCCTATAAAGTTCTAATTGATTCCACCTCCCTTGATCTCTCACTTGGCAAGGCTGTGAAGAACATGAGGCAGGCTCGGCAGTTTCTGACACGTTTGAGGTGGGGGATGTGCACGTTGCTCATACCTCTCTTAGCACGGGCCTTCTTCTCAAGGGTTAACAGGCTTCTAGAAATGTCTGTCTGATGTACCTTTCGTCCCCACCATCCCGTCACTGATGCCTGACCTTTCCCTTCAAAGGTCCTTCCTTCCCTAGGCCCAAGATGTGCAACACCAGCCGGGATGCCACGACACGCCGTGGACCACAGGACATGATGGACAGCTTTTCTCACTTGGCCCCAGATCCAGAGGGAGGGAAAGGACGGCACACCACTGTAGCTCCATTTCTGCCAGGGACTCAGGGGTCCTTTGCCTTCCTCCCACCCCCTTGGTCTACCCACGAGCTGGCACAGGAGAAGGCGGTCTGCACCCACAGCTGAGGTGGGCAAGGGGCCTGACGACCTTTAAATCCTGCCTTGCCTGCCCCCACCACCACCACCTCCATGCCTCACGCCAGCCACGCTGGGCTTTGCTCGTTGCTTGGATGTGCCCGTGGCCCCCTCCAGTCCTGCAGGCAGGCTGCTCCCCCTGCCAGGGCCACTCTCATGCCCACGGTGCTGGCTGCCACCTCTTGCCAGGGCATTCTGCTCTTAGGGAAACTGCTGGTACTCCAATCCTGTATTAGCAACTGCCAGGTGTACCTACGCTCCAGAGGCCGGGGCCCACGTCTGCCTTGGCTGATGACACTTTGGTCAGCACCACCGCTAACATTTACTGAGCAGCTCCCTAGAGCCAGGCATAAGCCAAACACTTCCCACAGATTCATCTCCTTTAATCCTGACCACGAACAGAGTCCATGACCACCGCATATCACAGAGGAGTGCACCAGGGCTTGGAGAACCGAAGGGATTTCGCCAAGGTTGCTTGGAGGATAAGAGCAATGCCAGCTCAAAGCCAGAGCCTGGGCTCCCAGATGCCTTGACTCAGTGCTCACAGTTCCCTGGCACGCCCCTGGACTGTGCCCACCCCGCGATGAGCGGAATGAATGGGCAGTGTTTCCTTCAAAGCTCTGCTGTGGCCCAGGCCAGCCCTGGGAGGGCACACCCTGGCAGGATCTAGCACTGGTGATTTTGGGGTCCAGTGGCTTGGCCAGAGCTCAGATGGCTCTGAGAGCCAGGACCTCAAGGCAGGGCAGGCACTGCAACTTCATTAATTTGGGCTGGAAAGTAGGTCCATTATGATGATGTTTTTTAAAAATACAGCACCTGCTGCCCAACTTCAAATAGTCCAAATGCCAGGCCAAGTAGGGTGAGTGCACGTCACAGCCTACCTGGGTGAGGACATCCAGTTGGCCCACGATGTGCTCCAGCGTGCTGGTCAGCGTCTGGGGCATGCTGATGGGCTCCTGGGGCTGGCTCTGCACCGACTCCTGACTCCTGCCTCTGCCGGGAGGGATGGGGAAATCCACATCTGACTAAAGACAATGAAAAGAAAGGGAGTCCTTCAGTCCTCATCCAGGGCTTAAGGAAACACAGAAAGAGGAATAGCCCCTCCAAAGGATGAAGTGGAAAACCACCCACAAACGAAAACATGAGTTCCAAACACTGGTGAGAAATGTAGTGTGGTGGTACTCCCACATCCGGGCCACGTGCCCCCTTCCAGGGCTTCCTTTCTGAACAGAGGCCATGAGTGAGGAGTGCCATCCAAGCACATGGCAGTGAGGGCTGGAGGAGCCTGGGAGGGAGGGGCAGTGCCCTCCGCTGCCTCCTCATGCCACCCACACCCCCCCAGTACGCCCCTCAGAGTCTGGAGATCCCGAAGCCCAGGCTGGCTCTGAAGTCACCCCTCTTCCTGGCAAGCTCAAGGCCCATTCCCCTCTCCCAGCATGGGCATGGCCTAGAGCTGGGGGGGATGTTCCAACCCCGCCCAAGTGCAGAACCCCTGGGAAAACAGGCATTTTATGTGAACATCCAGATGGCTGGTGGGAGTCCTGTGCCTGGTGGGACAGGCACCCTGGGCTGTTGTAGATCGCATTCCAGGGATGTGAGGGATCAGTGTTCTTGCCTGAGAGGCGTCAGCTCCCAAACGCAGAAGCCAGCCTAACCTCTGCCACCACCACTCCCAAATACACGCTCACAATCACCGAGCACAGGTGATTTCCTAAGGGGACTCATCCCAGTCCGACATGGGTCCCCCCAAATTCAGGCACCACTCTATATACAGATGAACGCTTCTCCTAGCCCAGGAAGCACTGTGCATGCGTTCAGCAGGGTGGGATTCCCAGAGGGACACAGGCAGCAGATGCCCCAGTTTTGGTCTTGGAACCTTCCCCTGTGGACTTGCTCCCTGAAGGAATGACGTGCTTGGTGCGACTCTCACTCTCGGCCGGCCCCAAAGCCCCAGTAACCCATTAAAGGCAGCCGCACCTGGGGCTCAGGGTTTTAAACCACGACCTCACAAACTTCCAAATGTTACCACGTCACTCCCTGGCTTCACCAGTCCTCCAGGGCTTTCCACTGCCTTTGGGAGAAAATTCGAGCCCCTTGACAAGGCACCCTACTCTAGCCTACCTCCTTCCACAGCTCCCCTCCTGCCCAGTTCCCAAGGTCCCTCCTACTGGAAGGCCCTCATCCACCCTTCCTTTCCCCTGCCCCCAGCATCCTGGCCTCCACTCGCTTTGCAACCCTGAACGCCTGATGGGCAGCGCCTCTGTGCCTCCCACACGCCTGTGCCTGCCCCCCCCCCCCGGCCCTGTTCCTCCAGCCACTCCATCTCTAGGGCCAAGATGCACAAGTGGGACGGACCAATGCCGGCCTGCCCACAGGGCCCACAGCCCGTCCATGGGTCCGTGTCCCTCTCCCTGTCTCCTGCCTATGCCCACCACCCCGTCCCTTCTGAATCTAGGACATCACTGGGCTCACAGCTTGCCAGCTACCCATGTGCCACAGAGCCTCGGCAACTCCACCCAGCTGGCAGAGCATACCAGCTATGACTGGGGCTCACCTAGGCTGCCTGCGCACGTGCCACCAGCAATCGGCGTGCATCTCTGAGTCTGCCCATCTCCTGGGTGAACCCACAGTGGCCCAGCCCTAGGAAGATGCTCTGCTCTGGACATGCTCACCTGGGCGGGCATCAGAGTCCCTGAAGCAAATCAGCCCAGGACAGGGTTCCCAAGTAGCCAAGGAGGGCAGTTTGGCACATGCACCCTACCGCCTATTTTCCTTTATTTGGAAAGTGTTCTAGTCTCATAGATAGCAAACTCTCCAGTGCATGTCCTTTTGAACCCGGAAAAACACAGGCTCTGGAGATGAAAGAGAATCTGAAGATGAGACACAGAGCTCGAGGGGTGTTCTCGAAAACAGGAGCAGCGCCCTGCGTGCAAGCCCATTGTGGGTGTGTCAGCTGTGTGGGGCAGCCGCTCTGTAAGCCCTTCGCCCACCAGGGCCGGCCCGCCCCACCCCCCCAGTCCTCCAGAAGTCCATGCACTTGGCTAGTGCGACCCTGACAGGTGTGGGGGTTTTCCTCCTGTTTTGTAATGCAAGCGCTTGACTTCTTGACTGCCCAGGCATCCACTTCAAAGAGGCATCCACTCGAAGAGGACTATCTTGAATAAACACGCTGCTGCCGCCCACGACCAGGTAAAGGGCTGGGCCACCCCCCACCATGGAGGCTCCTTTGTTTCCGAAATCTTGGTAGATTTTGGTAACTGACCATATGGCCATGTGTTGTTGTTTTTTTTTTAAATTCCCACTCTTATGTTTAAAACTCACCAATAAAGAGTGAGCCCTGAAAATCCCTAGGCCTCTACCCTCAATCCCAATAAAAGTGGAACCCCAGGCGCTCGCTCTCTCTACCCTCTACCCTCACCCTTGCTGTGTGGCCTCACGTGTGTTATTTCTAGGTCTTGTAAGTAATAAACCTTCATTTTTTCAAAGGTTCCTGATGGTTACTGCGGAAGGGTGCCTTGTAATTATAATAAGAACTATGAGGGCCAGTTTCAACCACAACATTGGTTATTGACGGGCAGTGGCACACAGTTTCAGATCCCAATGCCTATGCAGGAGTCCACCCCAAAAGGAAATGTTCCAGAAGCCTCAACCAGCCCTCACCCCCCCGCAGCAGCCCCCAGACCTAGGCAGCAATGTCAAGATACAGCAGAGTGCAGTGGGGAAGAGCAGGGATTCAGACAGGCCTTGGCTGACATCTGAGCTCCAGGACTGATCGGCGAGGTGGCCCTGGGCAAGAGGCTTAACCTCCCCGGGCCTCTACTTTCTCATCTGCAAGATGGGGGTGATGATTGGGCCTGCCCCCACCCAAAGGGCTGGGCTGTGAAAGGAACTTCTCTGAAATCAGCAGCAGGCCTTTCTTGAGAAGCGGCTCCAGGCCTGTGCCCACTGCTTCCGAAGGACCCCCCTCCCCCTTCCAGACATGCACACTCTTCCTTTGGACAGTGGATCCCCAGGGCTCCCTCAGGAAAGGCCACGAGAGGGAGGGCGGGAGCCAGGCAGCCCTCTGTCCCGACAGCCAGCGTCCTCAAGGAGTGGCCAGACGGGTGCTGCCGGCTGCCTGGGAAGGACAGAATGGAAATTCTGAGTGTTTCTGAAAAACGGCCCAGAAACTGACAGCGCTGAGCCGAGTCTCTGGAAGCACAGTGATGACGGGGAGTTGGGGGGAGCAGGGGGAGCACCACTGACTCGCAACAGGAACCCTTCTGAGCCCAAACGGAGCCAGCTCCAAAGGTGTACTGAGGACAGCAACGGCATGCCGAGGCAGGGAGGCAGCCTTTGGAGGACAGGGCCGCGGGAACCACCATGTTCCCCTGCCAACTCCAAGCTCTCACAGGCTGCGGCCAGGTTACGACAAGGGAGATGGAAGCTCCGAGAGCAAAGGACCGTCGGGAGGGCCCCGGCCTCAAGCCTCCCTCACAAGCCCAGGGTCCCGCCTGCCCCAGGCTATTCCTCTGGCCGCGCCGTCTGGTCCTGGCCTTACCTTCCCCAGGACACGGCCATTTCTGCTTGCTGTCCGCTCTCTCACCGGCGGACAGGACAGTACTGCACGCGCCACCAGGCCAGCGCATGAAGACGGCAATGGCTGTTGTCCGCCTGTGACCTACCACGTGCCAGTGCTTATACATGTCACTTCATTTAGTCCTTACCACGGCCCTTCACAGCAGGCATTATTAAGCTTACTTTTCAGATGGGGAAGCAGGCTCGGGGAGGTTAGAGGTCTTGCTCGAAGTCACCCAGGAAATGACAGAGCTGGGATCAGAACCCCCCAGCAGAGGCAGTTCCCTGACATCAGGCAGCCTCTGACGGGTGACACGGCCTGCAGTTTTGCCCCCACGTGCCTTCCACATATGTCCTGCATCGACCGACCCCCTGCCCCAGCCGCCTGCCCGGCACAGAGCTGAACACAGACGAACACAGAGCAGGCCCTCCACACACACACTGGCCGCCTCCGAGAGCCCAGGCCACCACGGTGACATTCCTGGGTAATGAAACCTTGCCAAGGCAAAGGGCCCACGGCCCTACCCCACAGCACCCTGGAGATGCGTGCTTCCCAGGGCTGGGCAAACAAGCGATAAGCAGAGATAAGGAGATGAGGAACGGGAGTGGGAAGGGACGCACGTACCGGGCTGTGAGCAATGACAGTGACGGAACACCCAGGGCAGGACGTGAGGGGGAAATGCTATCAGTGCTTTGCCTGTTCAACATCAAAGGGTCCCAGGGGCCCAGCCTGGCGGTTCTCAGGGACACTGACATCGGCACACACTCCGTACCTACACAGCAGCACCGAGCTGACAGCTTTCATTTTTGCCAAATACAAACCTCTTAACGTCAAACAGGAAGAAAGATGAAGACTCAGAAGAGCCAAATCTCTTTCACTTTGTGGAAATCTCACTTGGGGTCCGCAGGTGCCCCCTCTCACCCCGCCCCGGTATGGGATCCTAGGCTCTCATGGCAGGTTCATCTTCTGCTCGCCTCAGTTTCTGTTGCCACCGGCCTGTCCCAGGCCACCAGGAGCTCAGCACTTTGCACACAGTAGAAATTGCAGAAATATCTCGTTGATCTCAGCCACTCGAACACATGGGTCACCAACCCATACATTTATTAAAAAACAAAACAGCTCGTAGGTCTTCCTTGTGACAAGAAATCAACCCATCTGGACTATGGTCTCACTGGTTCATCAACAAGATGTAGATATATGGATAAGGAACCCCTGCCTAGGATGTAGAAAGTCGGGGAAAACATTAAGCCCAACCTAACAAGAAAAAGACCGACAATCCTAAAGAATCATAACTTTCTTAAATCGGAGAACTGAAGTCACAAAGCAAACAACTAACCTGAAATCTAAGGAAAGACAGACTCTTCTAAGGAAACGAAGTGAGAGCATCAGCTCACCTCTGGCAAAGCATGGGAGGAAGGGACACTGAGTGCTACACAAGTGGGTGAGAAGAACTGAGTTAAGCCAACA